GCAAAACCCCTAAAAAATCCTTATTAATGAAAATTTATATATGTGATCGACTATGTTTGTAAATCATATGATGTGGGGCACCCCAATATAATATGTCTTCTACATATCTTCCCGAATTTAGCTTCCATTTCATGCCATCTTCCATATTTTTATAATTACTTTTGAATTGATTTAATGATTTACTGGTCATTTTTAGGCCTGTACCATTTACACTTTTATCGCCATCTTGTTCCAATTCCTCATGATTAGAATTATTATTAGATTCTTGAAGGTATCTCTTTTTAGGGGATTTTAACTAAAGATGTAAAAGAAAAAAGAATACATCAATTCATAATAGTAATCAGAACTACAAAAGAAAAATAATAGTAATGGTACTTGCACCAATTTCTTGTTCTTTAGTCGTGATGGCAGTGGAGGAGGCACTAAATCAAAAAAAATTGCAGTTGTAATATTATCTTTTTATTGTAACTAGAGTAACAACAAGTGGCAATAACCACCACTATTCTTAAAACACTTGCTCAAAATAATTTTCTTGGATGTCTTCGCAATATCTTTGTTGATATCTTCTTTTCGACATATTTTTTTTTTAAAAATGAAAAGTTTGTTGTTTGATCGACGTGTACACGTCTAATTATTTATCCTATTGGTTTTTTTTTGGTAGGACAGGCACGAATTGATTTTTTTTTCTTTTCTTTTGGAAAAACAATTTATTTTTTGGCAAAGCCCAAGGTGACAAAACACGAATCTCCTAAAGAAGACGTGTTAATAACTGACCAGAGGTAACTATTTTTTATTTGTATTGTCTTTTTTGGTATCTTTTTTAGTTTATAATATTTTCAAAACACGGAGCAGATCATTGTTGTGTAATTACAAGATTTTCATTGATAATATTTTGCTTTTCGAAATCAATAATAATAACATTAATATTATTATTATATAATTACAAGAAGATGTCAAGGCAGCACACTGTTGAAAAAGAAACAATTCAAATATGCAATGTTTGATTATCAGAAATTTGCAGGCATTGAAGCATGCACACTACCTTGAACACTTACAGTCATTCTCTCATCTTCCTCGTGTACATAAGGCTAATCTGACTAGCTTGCCCTGAGATACAATGATGATGTTAAATTTTCAGGGGGGTACGTGGCTCTGGAGTTTATCAAAATATTGCATCAATTGTCAAGAATGCTTTCACTAATCCTCCCAGACCAGAGAAGGCTGCTGGCATGTTGGCCGAAAAGTTGCCTGAAACAATCCTACCTCTACCTCTAGAGTAAGGATGGATCTGTGACCAAGTCACAACTCTGCTGATGAATTGTAGTGCCATGTAAACATCAAAGCAATGAGAACCTGCAGCTCGGTTCAAGCACAGAAGGTTGCAATTCAGAATGGGGTTGGTGGCCCTGAAATGCATTTGGGCTTTGATATTGTGAGGAAAGCTGTAAAATAAAATGGTTTTGATTTTGTTTGGTATGTTTTGTATAAATTAATCATTCCCAAATTTTCTGTTTCTTTAATTTTTGTTTGACCAACTGAACTTGTTGTTTAAATGGAGTAGGGTTGTTGGTGAGTAGATGTGCCACCAACAAGACAGCAACCCAGAGCTGGAGAATTTGCAACCCCCCAAGTTGCAGACACCAACTTTATTCTAAAGGTCAAGATAACACAAAGCAATCACCACACAAGTGCTGATCCTCATCAGTTATCAATGCCCATACAGAAACAGCCAAGCCTGGTCTGAGAGGAAGATAGGGAAATGTTTTGTCCAAAGCCTTCCAACATGTTCAAGTCGATTTCACCTGTGGGAAAAAATTCCATGGTGCTGAATTTTGCTTAATTGCATAGCGCTTGCTTGTTTGTGGTAGGAAATTTTAATTAAATCTGACACCTGTGATCAACATCAGATTTATTATTCATGAGCAACATAAATTGATAATCAGGGAAAGTAATTTATTTTGTGAACCCCAGAGATCTGGGTAGACATGCATTATTGTTCCAAAATCAATCCCTGAAAAGTTTCATTTCTGCATGGCCTTGGTATTATTTATTACTTGGGCGATGCAATTTATTTGTTAATACTTTGTAAAAAGGAATATATATACAAATAATGACAACACATGATAAGGATACCGGCTGCAACTTTTGATGATGGTTGCTACCATCTTTGCATCATATAAAAATGATTGCAACCGCTGGTTGCAACCACCTTTACGACCATTTTGTTTCCTTTTTTGGATTGCGACATGGAACACTAACACATGATAATCATGAAGATTTGAGATGATGGTGAAAAAAAAACATTTATTTTTAAGGAAAGAATTAAAAAGATAAGTAATATTTATTTATTTTGGTTCAACTAAAAGAAAAACACATAATGATTTAATTAATTTATTATTTTATCTTCTGTGGCCCCTCACATGTTTATATTTCTGCGCTCCACATGATTTTACTGTTGCGGAAGGGTTTATTTGTTCAACTAATATCAGTATTTTTTCACATCACTTTTTTTTTTTATTTTTTTCTTTATTGACTTTTCCTATTACATAATTCACATAGAGTTGATTTTTTATAGTTTTGCAATGTAATAGAATAACAATCCATAAATGGTTCACTGACAAAGATAACCTTTTATTAAATGAAATAAAATAGATACAAACAATAATAGTGTGTAAATATGAAATATTTTATTTTTTACTTATTATTTTTATTTAATGAAATAAAGTCGCTGTTTGCTTTTTCTTATATTGATTCCTGATGATGGGACAATTAAATTCAGACTACAATTGTTTTTCATGGATCAGTTAACTAAAATTTTCAATTTCTCTTTTTTTAAATTGTTTGCTTAAAACTATTTCACTATTTCATCTAAGTTTAATTCCATTTATATACTTCAATTTTAAAACAATTATAAAAAAACTTATGAAGTGAACATAAAATTATATATATAGGGGTAGGTGTATATGAAAAGTAATAATAAATACAATGGTTCTAATGAATAT